ACAGGAAGAAAAAAACTGTAGGCAAACTCTTGTATAACATTCTCACCCTAAGTTATTAGCTTTAATATAATACTCTCACAACACTTCAAACTTTCCTCCCAAACTCCTCTAATTTCTCCTCCTTGCATATGTGATTAAAGCCCTTGCTGGACCTCTCTACCCTGCTCCACCTTGAATTGACCCTCCCTGCTACGAATGATCCTTCCTGTTGCATTCTCCGGCTCTTAGATGGCTAGGGTGGGTCAGTTCGATGATTCCCGACCGATCCCACCTAGATTAGTTCATGACTGGGGGTAACAATACTCTCCTTCAAGGTAGCGCCTTGTCGTCAAAGTGGAATGATGGGAACTGTTTTCAGATCACCTCATATGGTCCTCATGTTGCTTCATACTCTGGCAGACCCTTCCACTTAATAATTATTTCCCTTGCTCCCGCCCCTCCTGGGAGCACTCCTTCAACCTCTAATAGTTCTAGAATCACCTACAGGGCTTCTATCATCATCAGGGGCAGTGACGATGAGGGTGTATGATCTCCGATAGCCTGCCTCAACTGTGAAACGTGGAAGAATGGATGTAGTGTTGATGATGGTGGTAACTTTAAACATTAGGCCACTACCTCGTGTGTGTAGTCACCTTTTAGGGTTCAAAACATCATAGTGAAAGTTTCTCGCTCCTTCGTCTCAACAATATCCTCTATCTATAGGGTCTCAGCTTCAAATAAATCATGTTCCCCGGTCCGAGCTGCACCTCTCCTATGTTCATCTGTGCTCCTCTTCATGATTTGTTGAGCTCTCCGTAGATGTCCCTTGAGCTACGCCCATATCCTGTCCCTCTCCTCCAAGTACCGGTCGACATTGGATACAGGTGTAGCACTAGTGTACCAATAGAGGTGTCAATTCGGGTGGATGAGTCGAGTTCGGGCTGCCCGAAAATGACACGACCCGAATAGAGTTAACATGAACTTGACCCGAGAAATAAACATGTCAAAAACTAAAACTCAAACCAAACTTTGACCCGCTAACCCGAACTCGACCCAAAATCTTGTGCTTATTCCGATCATGTTTGGGTTTTCGGGTGTAAACTCAACCCGACTCAAATAATAAACGGGTCAAATTCTCTAACCCAAACCAGACTAAAAAAAAATTTGGATCAAATCCAACCCGGATTTTTCAAGTCAAGTTTGTATCATGTTAGAGTGTCTAGTTGATTTTTTATCTCGCCCATACAAAATCTTGAAAGTTGTGGTTTGCACTGTTATATGGTACGAAGCATTATACAAGCATTCGACCCACGCAATCCACTTGGCCCAAAGTATCGATTTATCTGAAACAAAACAATGCAGGTATGTCTCCACACTCCTGTTGATCACCTCACTCTGGCTATCAGTTTGAGGATGACATATTGTGCTTCTCTTAAGGGTTGTTCGTTGTAACCTGAACAGCTCCTTCGATAACTGGTTGAGGCTTCACTTTGTCCCTGTCCGATACAATCGGTTCCGGCACTCTGAGCAAACAGACCACTTCTCATATGAACATTATGGCGAGGGAGACCGCAGTGTAGGGGGGTCGTAATGGATACAAATATTCATAGCTCAAGCAATCCACTTCCATCGGGATCATCTTAAACCCTTCTAATCGTGGCAACCCTTCAATGAAATCCATGGTCACTTCTTTCCAAACCTTCTCAGGTAATGCTCAGGCTTGTAACAACCCTCCCGGCAACATGGTCAAGTATTTGTGTCACTAGCACACATCAAACCGCACCAATATGTCTTCTACGTCTCGGCACATCCCCGCCCAGTACAGCTCTATCGATAAACGATTGTATGTCTTTTGCACCGTGGAATTCCCCCTAATAGCAATGTCATGAAACTTCTGCAACAGTCTGGGAATATACTCTAATGGCCTTGGTAATACAAACCGCCCCTGGTTTCCTCAACGCATATCCCTGATGACTATTCAGATCATGTGGCAACTCTGCTCATACTTTTGTCAGCTCTTCATCTTGCTCGCTCTCCTGCCTCATGACTTCCCGATCTAGGATCAAAGGTATCATAAGGCTATCAGTTGGTGTTCCTCCACCTTTCTGGACAAAGCATCTGTGGCTTTATTCTGAATCTCGAAATAATATCCCAACAACTTAGATAGCCATCTCTAATGCTCCTCAGTTATCATCCTCTGCTCCAATAGATATTTCAATCTCCTTTGATTTTTCCTGACAATAAAATATCGCCCCTATAGATAGGGCCGCAACTTTTGAATGGCCAAGACAATAATCATCAACTCCAACTCCTACACAGACTTGAGCCTCACCCTAACAATGAGCACCAGGCTGAAGTAGCCAATTGATTGTTGGTTATGCATGAATTCTGCTCCTAATCCGTACCCTGATGCATTTATCTCTTACCTCAAATGGTCTACTGAAATATGAAAGTCCATCTACTGGCACAATGTTAATGGCTCTCCTCAGTTTTTAGAAGGTTTGTGCTGCGGCTTCCCCTTACTTGAAATTATCTTTGGATGTAAGGCCAAAAAACACTATTCATGACCTCGAGGTAGCCCGACCTCGAGCATCTCTCGAATCAGCCTGTCTAACTCATCCTTCTAAATCTGAGGATATCGGTATAGTCTGACAATGATAATAGGGATCCCCTTCTTTAATGTAATAGCGCACTCATGATCCCTTTGAGGCGGAAACCCGCTTGGCCCTTGAAAGATGCCTGTAAATTGTTATAGAAATTGTTGTAACCCTTCGGAAAACTCTGTCAGCTCGAGTTCTCGGACCTCATCAATGCTCTACAACTCCACCAAATAACATATCCCTGCTCCCCGTATTGATTGGACCATGGTTTTGCACAAGCTAGGATCTACTCTCAGCATCACTTTCCTACCCTTCACCTGAAACTCCCTCATAAGGGATTTACAGTCCACCTTGATCTCTCCAAGCGTTCCAGCCATTTCACCCCCAAAATCACATATGTGCGACCCAGGTCCAAGGAAGGAAGTCCTCCAACACCTATAAGTCATGTAGAGTTAGAACCAACCACTTACAAATTCCCCAACTTTTCTCCACTTTCCTTGTCCCCATCATGACACTGAAACTCCTTGTAGCTACCAATTCGAACCCTAACTGCTCCACACCCTCACTATCCACTAGCACTGCAATCGTCTTTTCCCCGATTCGTCCCTTCACTTTCATAGTGTGACTCTGAATAAATCCCATCATTGAATTGAAAGACACCTCCGGTACGTCCAAGTACAGATGCTTCTCCACCGCGTCGTCCTCTAATTCCTCCCCTCTGTCTCCTCTAGAACTGCAGGATCTGAAAGGCACGCTCCTTGCAAAAGTGGTCTGGGCATACTTTTCATCCCATCAGTAACATAGTCCATTTGCTCTCTTATCATGCATTTCTGCACAGGGGAGGCGCCTGAAATTGCATACTCTTCACTTGTCTCTTGTCTTCCATCATCTCCGTCAATCCATGCGGTCTCAATGATCGGACGACTACTCGGCTGTCGGGCTTCAGGCCCTTCAAGAAGGTCCCTCTAATTCTACTGCAGCAACACCCCTCAACTACCCTAACAAGAGCTCTAAATTCTCCCTATATTGTCAGAGCACAGAATTGTTGTATAGATCTTCTTCCAGGATGGCTCAAAAATACTCCAACAAGCAATCCTTAAATTCCTCCCACGAATGCATCGAATATCTTGTCTCCATCCACTGAAACCACACAAGTAACTTTCCCTCCAAACATAATCCCGCCGCCATGAACTTCTTTTCCTCAGTTAACTCATTGACTGCAAAGTAGAGCTCCACCCATGTGCATCTTCTCCTTCGAAGTTGGCATCTTTCATTTTCTGACCCTTGCATCTCCATTCCAACTTCCTATTCCTCCAGTATTTCCCCCAAGTATGTCAAGTGAAACTCCCTCCTTTCTCCTTCATGCTCTTTCGTTCCCCTTGCACCATCCCTCCAATTTTTAGCCCAGTTCTCTCCATCGGAAGTCTCCACCCTCCCTCCTCTCAGAGTCCTAAGGGGGATGCTCTTGGTGGTATATGATGTCCTCTTGTTGTCCCCTCTCATTTGATCTCCTTCCCTCTTGATTTGACCAAGGATTTCCTAATCAACTCTTGGTTAGAATTTGCAATTTGAACGGTTGGCAGAGCCTCTGATCTCGATAGGCCTCTTCAACATCTATTGCATTTCCCTTGTGTTCTTTAAACCGATTTCCATTCGACTCTCTATAAAAAAAATCTATCATCTATGGTGGTAAACTTTTCTCCCATTCCCGATCTCATTTGCCCTACTTATCCTTCCAACACATCAACTTTCTTCATTGCCATCCCTCGAAGATCTTGCTCTGATACCACTTTGATAGGATCCAGAACCAAAAACAAAGAACAAACATCAACAAAATTGCAATAAATAGGTGGAAAAACTAGAAGATGGCAACTCTTATGAAAAATCAAAGAAAAACAAGCAAGATACAATGATAATGTACTGCTCGAAAGGTAGATCCACTCTCCACAAACCTTAGACGTCATTAGGAACACACGGGAAGAAAAAAAAGGCTGCAGCCAAACAAAACAAGCATAAAGAAAAAATAAACCCTAGGTATTAGCCTTAATATAATCCTCTCATAACACTTCAAATTTTCCACCCAAACTCCTCTAATTTCTCCTACTTGCATACATGATTAAAGCTCTCGTGGACCCCTTTTGTTCGCTGGACTTCTCTGCCTTGCTCCACGCCGAACCGACCATGCTGCATCCGATCCTCCCTATTGTATCGTCCGGCCCTTATATAGCCCAATCGGTCCCGCCTGGACGGGTTCATGACCAGGTGTAAACATTACTTTTACCCCCTTCCAATTTTTTTTTTTATAATCTCAATATTTTCTTTCAAAGTTATGGGAATCAATTATATATTTAAATCAAACATATAACCATCGTGTTATGCATAATCATATGAAGTTAAGTGGCAAAGTAAGAGAGAGCATACCACCAGTATACTGAATAGAGAGCCGATCAGGGACATCACAAGGCCTGCACAACAAATATGGAAAGGTCTGCATTTAGTTAATCTCAAGAAATTTTCATGTAAACAGTGACGTAAAACAAGACATCCAAGCTCAAAAATAGCACTGCTGCGCTATACAAATTTCTAACCAGGAAGAATCAACTAAATGCAAGAAGTATTAACAATAATTTAACAATAATTAACAACCATTTCATGCCTTAACAATAATTTACTTTGAAGTTTAGTACAAGTATTAATTGACAACAACCATACTATTGAAAGAACTCCAGAGATATCGGATCGTCATTAATAAGGTTTATTCATGTATTATACTTAAGTTTCTGCAATTTTTAGTTAGCCAGCTGTTTAGGAATCTTTTCCAAATTTTGTTTTAAGTTCTTCTTTATTAGGTAAACTAGTTTCCAAGTTAAACTCCTTGGAGAAGCTTTATATACGACCCACTGCATACATTCATCTTGCATTCATCTTGCAATAAGAAATGAAGAAATTCCATATTTTGCTCTATTTTTATGGTATCAAAGCAGAGGATAGAATCCTAAACTTCGAATTCGCTTTTTGTTCCCAAATATGATGGAGGTCAAGTCCAAGACATCACTGCCATCTCAATCTCAAATCTTTTAAAGCCCATACAAAACCCATCCCATTCAAATCACTATCATTTGACAAAATCATGATAATTTTCTTCAATGGTCATAATCGGTTCAAACGTACATCAGGAGAAGAGAAGAGATCAGCTACATCACAGGAGATGCAAAGAAGTCCAAAGTGAAGATCCAGTTCTCCATTTGGGATGCTGCAAACTCAATGATAATGGTGAGGTTAATTCCATGAAGAAAAGAGATAAGCGTGATTTCTATTATTCACTGGCCAAGGAATAGAGGGAAAATGACTCACATATGTACTCAGATTTAGGCATATGAGTTAACTCTACGATTTGGGGAGATCTGTCAAACTGAAGATTCTGTGACAAAATATTTCAATTTGCCAAAGAGAAAATTGGAAATATTTGGACTTATTCAAGGCGTATGAGTGGAAATCACCTGAGGAACCTCCAAGCATATGACTAATGTTCCCATATGTTCAGTTCCTATTACCCGTGTCTTGAGTTTGGAAAAGTAAGAATCATAGATGGAAGCTTTTCATTGATTTCTTGCCAGAAAAAATTAACCTACCAAAAATAATTACCCTAAATTCTATTTTACATGTGCCAAAACTATTGGGATGGATCATGAGCACTTAGGGCTTTAATTAGTCCATAATCAAAATCATACCACAAAATAGGATCATGAAAATTCGAGAAACCCAGAATAGAATAAATCAGACAGAAGCACAACAAAGCACTCTAAAAAAAGCACACCAAGATTTATGTGAAAAAACCAAGAACAAGAAAAAACTACAAAGCGACACCACAAAATTTTCACAAAGAAGAACCAAAAATGTACAGGGATACACACTCAGATCAACTCTACAAACACAGAAACTTACATAACTTTTCTCCAAATCTTCCTCTTGATCTCACAAGAGAAAGCCCTCGCAAAAATCCTTCTCGACTCTTTTCCACTTCACGAAAGTCTTGTTGAGAAACACCGGACACGAGAGTGTAGTTCTTCATTTCTCCAACTACGACTTAAGAACAGTAACAAGAGAAATTGTCTCGGCGGCGTGACTGTACAGAAGCAGTGTAATTATTTCGCACACAAGGGAAGAAAGCAAAAAATTTAAAATAGCACTACGTAGCTACGTCAATCCCAACATGGTTACGCTAGTCTGGTAACATTTGGATCGATGTAGCATGCCAAATTGGCATAGTTATGTCGCGCAGAATTACGGCTTGGAACTGCTGCTTGCGATCATGTGCTCCTTCAAATGTCCTACAGAATTGGGTGCTTCTTCAGGCTCCAATTCACAACAACCTCCCACTTGGAGAGTAACAGCACCCAACAAATGTCCTACAGATCTATGCTTCCATCTATACCAGCTCCGTAGTCATGTATCATGATGTGGGTAGCTTCAATTTTCTCGATAATCACCACCTCTATCAATATTTCTGCAAGAACAATTGTTTATCTTCTTCAAGAACAATTGTTCGAAGTGATGCCTCAGTTGAATTTGTTTTGTATGTATCTTCTTCAAGAACAGTTGTTCATCTTCTACGAGAGAGAGTACAAAGTGATGCCTCATTTGAATGTGTTTTGTCCTGGCATGAAAAGTAGCATTCTTAACAAGATGAATTATACTCACATTGTCACTATAAAGCTTTCCAATTTAATGCTCCTTGCCTCAATTCTACAATAAAGTCATGCAACCAAATCAACTCCTTGCTAGCTTCAGTGATAGCAATTTATTCGATCTCCGTAGTTGAAAGAGCAATAATCTTCTGCGGCTTGGAAATCCAACTCACCGCTGTGTTACCCAACGTGAAGAAATGCCCTCTTGTACTTCTTCTACCATCCAAATCTCATGTCAAATCTAAATCTACAAATCCCTATAGATTGATCCCTGCAATTTTAAAGTAAAGTGCCTTGTTGACTATTCCTCTCAAGTACTTAAGAATTCACTTCACTGCCTCCCAACAATGTTTGTCTGGATTGCCCATGTACATGTTGATCACTGTCACTGCAAATGTAAAATCTAGTTTTGTACAAATCATATCATACATCAGACTCCCAACTATTGAAGCATAATGATTTCTTCACATCTGTGTTTTCTCTGCTTCAAATTTAGGCAATAGCTCCTTAGATAGCTTGAAGGAACTACCTATGAGGGTGCAAATTAGTTTTGCCTCACTCATGTTATCAACATACTCTGTCTGAGATAACTTCAGTGTCCCTACACTCCTACCCCTGTTGATTTTCGTCCAGAGACCACTTCCCCGATTAACCTTTTAGATACATAAAGTGTCTATCAACTTCAATATTCTTGGTTCTATGACGTTGCACAAAATTCTTGGTAATACTAATAGAAGCTAGATCGTAACAAAACATTAGTATAGGCCCATTGGAGGTGCACCCCACCTCCTTTAACATATTTTTAATCCAGATCCCTTCACAAATTCTCAAGGCGAGTGCCCTATACTCTTATTCCGCACTGCTTCTAAAAAATAACAATTTGCTTCTCATTTCTCCATGTAACCATATTTTCCCATCAAAGTAGCAATAATCTGTGGTGGATCTTCTGTTAGTGAGTTCGTCAGTCCAACATGTATCATTGCAAACTCTGCCTCTATTTTTGATTTTTTTTAAAAATAATCCATAACCATGAATCTTATTGAAAAACCCAAATTCATGTACATCATCTCTAAATACTCTTCATTTGGGTTATTCATGTGTTAGCTCACAATGCTGACAAAGTATGCAATATATGGTCTTATATGTTATAGGTAGATAAGTTTTCCTACCAATCTTTGATATCTTCCATTTCATAGATGCACTTTCTTCTCCCCAGTTAAGAGTTCATATTGGGATCCATTTGAGTATCAACAAGCTTGAATCCAATCATCCTTATCTCTTTAGTAGATCTAAGATGTATTTTCTCTATGATATAGTGATTCCTTTCTTGGACCTTGCTACCTCCAACCTAGAAAATATCTATGATATAGGTCTTTGATTTCAAATTCAATGGCAAGCACTTCTTTGAGCTTGAGAATCTCTTTTTCATCATCACCAGTAGAATCATATCATCTGCATATACTATCAGTGTAGCAATCTTACCACCTGAGTGGGTTTTATGTACAAAGTATGATCAAATTGACATTTAGCATCTCATTAGATCCCATAGTTTTAGCAAACCTTTCAAATTACGCTCTTGGTGGTTGCTTAAGCCCGTAAAAAGACTATTTAAGTTTGCAAACTAGGTATTTTTTTAAATCATTCTAAAGTCTTGATGGTATCTTCATGTACACTTCTTCAAGATCCTCATTCGGGAAGGTTTTTGAATGTTGAGCTGATGCAGTCCTCATTCATTATTAATTGCTATTAAAAGGAGAACTTTGACAGTATTCAGTTTGATAATTGGCGTGAGTGAAGCCAAATAAATTCAAATATCCTAATAGTCAATCCTATAGGCTTGAGTGAAGCCTTTTGCATCCAAATCTAGCTTTGAATCTCTCAATAACTCCATCAGCTCTATATTTGATGTTGAACACCCATTTAAATTATCAATTTTGAATATTTAAATTTTGCATTGGAATTGAGTTTGAATAATTTCATGAAAGGTTTTAAAAATTTGAGCTGTTTCAAATTTCTCCTTTATTGAATACCCAAAAAGTTATAATGTGATTGTCAATAAATGAGCAAATGATTAAGCCCCTCTTAGGATTTTCAACTTTGAAGATACCCAAATATCATTGTGGATAGATAAAAAAATGTGTGTGAGTTTGTACTGGGTCATGTGATAACTATTTATAGTATGTTTGGCAAGTCGACACACCTCACATTAATAAGAACCAAATTTGTATTGATGAACAAATGAGAATCCAACTTTGTAACATAATTGAAATTAGGATGGCCCGGACGATAATGTCATAACATGACCTGTTCTTCGACAAACGTAGAAACAATAGACTCAAATTTTTGAGATAAAATTAGAGTTGGGATCATTTGTGTGTTTAAAGAGATATTTTCCTTAAGCAAGTATAAGTCTTGATGCATTCTAACACTGTTAATCACCTTCTCAGACTCCACCTAAAATTCACATGAGTTTGCAAGAAATTTAGTTATATATTTCATATCATGAATAAGTTTACTAATTGAAAGCAAATTATAGTCAATCTATCGAATATATAAAATAGAGGAAAGAGTAATATCGTGAGAGAGCTCCACATCTCCTTTTCCAGTAAATTTTGACTATGATCCATCTGAAAGTTTGGCCGATCTAGATGAAGAAGCCTCTTGATAGTTGACTAAAAGATCGATGTCTCCAATCATATTATTAGAAGTCATGAATCTTTGATCCATGTTCTAAATCTCTCATTACTAACAAGATAGAAAAAGGATATATCACCTTG